TGCATAAATTGACTAATGTTTAATATGCCGACCATCAAGAGCTGCCCAGGGGTCTAAAAAAAATATGCGATATTAGACTTTCGCTTTCAACTTTTAAAAGGCCGTTCATTCTGCGGGAGTCTTAGTAGGCTAAATATGTACTGGCATCGAAACGCGGGACTGCATTAGCAGACTGAGGGCAGCAAAGTAAGAATATTTAACCAATTATTCAAATTAGACTGGCACTTTAAAAGCATTAAAAACAAGCTATCTTNCCACTTCAAAGACCTGATTTATGACCAAATAATTTAATGTATTTGGCCATAAACCGTGGGAATATTTTCGTGCCCGACTTCAAACATATAATATATTACAGCAAATGCAAAACTTCACCCCGGGGGAAGTAAACTGCTTGGAGAGGCAAGCTTTTAAGTCACTGTTAAAATGCATAAATTGACTAATGTTTAATATGCCGACCATCAAGAGATGCCCAGGGGTCTAAAAAAAATATGCGATATTAGACTTTCGCTTTCAACTTTTAAAAGGCCGTTCATTCTGCGGGAGTCTTAGTAGGCTAAATATGTACTGGCATCGAAACGCGGGACTGCATTAGCAGACTAAGGGCAGCAAAGTAAGAATATTTAACCAATTATTCAAATTAGACTGGCACTTTAAAAGCATTAAAAACAAGCTATCTTGACAAAGGGATTATGAAGTTAGAAGAATAGAGGACATTTTTCTGTGTCCAGTTCTTCAAAGAGACAGCATTCTAGCCTACATGTTACACGCATACTAAGGGAAAAGTTTACGATCCGATTAGAGAATGGCTATCAGTTTATAATGTTTTATAAAATGCAGCTTGGTCACTATACCTGGAAACCAATAGCAAGAAGCCCAGACATGTACTATCACACTGGATGATACAGTTCGGCTATTTGCAGTAACAAACAAGAAGCCTGTGAGCCACTTTGGAGGGAAAAGTGAAGGAGGAAAATGATTGTTGTTTCGAACAACTTTGATTTCGTGATAGACGACCAATATATCACAAGTTTCCATTCTTTTAAAATATAAACCTCGAAAACGTTATCTATTTTATGCTGGACTCAAAATTAAGGAAACTTTTGATTCGGTCAGTACAATAATACCTCAGTGTCAACATTGAATTGTATGAAATCTCTTCAACCCTTTTTTAAAATGCTTGTATTTTTTTAAAAATTATTTTTTCATGTTGAAATGCTTGCCTTTTTTGTTTTCGTTATTTTGTGGTGTTAACAGTGAAAGTGCTAAACGCTCTTTTGTTTTTCTGTGGTTTATAGTTTATGCTCTAATAAGTGACTACACTAATTAAAGCTCGATATATGCTTTTGACGACCCAAACTCGATCATAAATATCAACCGGATTGCACCACGTGTTAAGCGGATAAAAAACAAAACTCCGCCTATCCTATTCATTGCAAAGTTATATGTTCCTGTTATAGTTTCGAGTCGTGCCGCTCTGATACATACGTTAACTGAATGTTTCCGAGTATCTTTTTAGTAACAAAATTCTAATTATCACATGTCAATACTTGTCAATTTATTGTGTACAGTATCGTTATTAGAGTATTATTTTACAGTACGTCATGATTAATACGTATACTCGGAAGGCCCTTCTGTTTATACTAAACTTTGTTTATCACTACACTCATAGTGTTTTCATTAGTTTAAGTTATAGACTTACTCTCTTAAATCCTTTTGTTTATAACATCTGGGTAGCAAAATATACACCGAGTGGTTTTCCTTCCTTCCTCAGAGCCACGCACAGCGGCGGGCGAAGAAATAAAATTATGCAAATTAATGGGGAAAGAGAGGAGAGATTAGGGCGTGCTCTGGATCGGTAACTCAATAGAAAAATAAGAGACTGTTCCAGGTCTAATAGCAAAAATATTATCTCACGATTTTACTTAATAAACCTTGTCATGCATTCAAATCAGAGTCAGTCTGATTTACTTCTAAAGAAATCCTTAAGCACTTGTTTGTTCAAAATTGTTATAAATTGCTTTTACAAAGTAACCTATCAAATGCCATGTTTCCAGTTTAAAGTTATCACTTTTCTCTTTTTTATATTATTTTTTGTTTTGTTTTTCTTTTACACTTAAAACATTCAAAGGTATGTGTTGTTATTTAGTCTTCTTGATGTAGGACGTTCGTTCTTTTGAGTTTGTTAATGTCTATATCAGCTTGTATGTTTTCAGACCCTGAAACCTCTTGCAATCTCTTAGGTTTTCAGTTAATCGAAATGAAAAGCCGTCAATTAAGTGGAACATTGCGTTAATATAAACAAAGAAATAAATCTGTGAAAAGAGAGGTACAAGACGAATAACGCAGTCCCAGTAATTACATAAAGTATTTAGTTGGTCCCCTCCACTATAACCTTTAAGTGAAAATAGTTATCACAGACGTCAAATCTTGAACACCACCACTAAAAACACTCCTAATCTGTCAATCTCGTAACCTTTTTTTGCATCTTCTTGTTAATTCCTTAATCCTTTACGTTGTGTGCGTGACTGATAAGATTTCTTACTAATTATATTGAAGGTATCTAGGGCTTGCCCTAAACAATGCACATGAAAATCAAACAAAGATGCCTGAAAAGTGGCGCACAAATGTAGGTGTCCCATGAATAGCCCTGAAACACGTGCTTTAAAAAAAATGAGAGAGAAGAGAGTAGATTTCACCCTCATCCACCACGCTGAAACACGCAGTAACTATGTTACAGTCTTAAGAATTAGAAAACACAATATCTTGACTCCTTTTCCTTAGTCAAGTCCTTCTGAAGTGGCGCAACTCTAAAATATGTCATTAAAAGTGGCTATCGGGTATAATTTTGTTGCCACGTGTTTTAAAAAACACTGGATCTTCTTGAATCACTTAGGGGATACAAGAACCTTATATTCATAAGTTATTTCGGCCACCCAGCAGCTGGGCAGGGATTAAATGTGAGAGCATTTCTTCAGTTTGGCTCTATCAGGTAGACTACCCTTAAAATTCTACATCCCGCGCAGAATAAAAACAGAGAGCAATTTTTGAGTCATCTACAGTAACCGACTCCATCTAATTGACCGAGATATAAACATGAGCGCCTACGAATAGAAACGAAAAAACGAAAAGAAAGCCAAATGTAAAATGGGTGCCGGTAAAATTGCATTTCAAAGATTATAAAAAANCTGGATCTTCTTGAATCACTTAGGGGATACAAGAACCTTATATTCATAAGTTATTTCGGCTACCCAGCAGCTGGGCAGGGATTAAATGTGAGAGCATTTCTTCAGTTTGGCTCTATCAGGTAGACTACCCTTAAAATTCTACATCCCGTGCAGAATAAAAACAGAGAGCAATTTTTGAGTCATCTACAGTAACCGACTCCATCTAATTGACCGAGATATAAACATGAGCGCCTACGAATAGAAACGAAAAAACGAAAAGAAAGCCAAATGTAAAATGGGTGCCGGTAAAATTGCATTTCAAAGATTATAAAAAAGAGAGAGAGAGAGAGAGAGAGCCAGTTTGGATTGCAAACGGGTAAACATCAAAAGCATTGGCACAATTATTTTTTAAGTTTATTACACTTTGTACAAAAGTGTAACTTTAATAATCTCGTGTGTACTTGTTATATAGCAAAGACTGTTCCGCGAGTTCTTCTTTTTGCCAATTTTAGTTAGAGTTCGTAATTAAATAAGGCAATGATGTTTGGCTAAATGATGGCTATATTAAGCGTGACCTGGCTCTACAGTGAACGTACAAATCAAAGAAGGTTATCACAAAAGAGATGAACCACAATTTCTAGACAATAATGATGAAGTAGGCATGGCAGTTGTTCGTAATCTCATCGTACCTTGTCGCAATGCGATTGTTAAATTGATCATTTTTACAGAATGGATAAGTGGAGCTTCCCTGGCCAACGGCTATGCTAATCTAGCTTTATGGAGTTCTTTTATATTATTTAAAAAGTGACTTATCAGATACGATGTATGTTGGAAACAAATGGATTTTTGTGTGCGCGCGTGGTAACCACGAGGAATTGGAATTTTTTTTGTTGCTCTTTCTTGTTCTGTGCGATAGCGAAATTTCATGATTAAGTATTTTCTTTTCATTTTTTTTTGAATAGGAAATCTCCTGAACTGGAAATCGTGGAATATTTCGTTTGGGATATTGAGATAAATGTAGTGGTTATTTCCTAGTATATCATCATCAGTGTGATCACTTCTGTGTCTCTGTTCGTCGAAAAAAGGCGAACAATTATCGATATTAATTAATACTGTTGGCATTAGAAACCTGGCTGGCAAAACAACTGCACCTTTACGTTTTTACAAAAGCGATGGCACTAGGCAAGGGGTAAGAAATCTGAAAAGGAATAAAGAAGATTTTAAAAGCTGGACAACCTTTCTTGAAAAAGAGACAGTGCATGGACCTTTATTTCCTCCATAATTGCACATAGCATATACAGTCTTCATTACGATGATACAAGCAGCTGCCGCCCTTTTCGCATCCGGTGTGTAAATAATAAAATCAACGAGAGCAGACTTAAATAAGTTTTAGTATCAGTTAATACGGTAAAAGAATACTTAACATTGTCCGAAATATAAATATTGCTAACTTGAAATAATGCGGCTGAGCCTAGTTTCAATTTCTAAGGTATTTTTAAAAAAGACATGTCTACAGAGAACAAACATGCGGTTTTAAATTTTTAAGTGAGAATTGCTCCGAATAGTTAGACTGTAAATTCTTAAGACTGACATGAATTGTTGGAGTTTTTCGTGGCAATGAGTCTTGATGAATCGAAATTAGAAGCAATGAAATTGAGCTTTAAGTAAAAAGGAAAAGAAATGTATACATGTGTATAGTACAAATGGTAAATAATTTCTGCAGTATCTGTGAATAAACTGTCCGGAGATTTTCCAACAAGTTCTCTGTCCATCGTCAGGAAGCTGAGTTCGTTAGTAATCCGTTTTAAGGGGACAGGCTACACGTAACTGTAGAGTTCAGTAAGCCCAAGGTCTCCACAGGAGGTGCGGAATTTGCGAGTACTGTACTTCCTGTCTTTGAAACTGCAGTTGACCATGAGAGGGGAGGACACGACGAGTTGACTCACAAACGTAGCAAGGGGAAGTTACACTCACAGAGAGGTGAGCTCCATGCGAAGTTCCATAGACACTGTCTAAAGACAAAGATGGGCTTTGAGAGAACTTATGCCTTGAGAAATCTCCACGGGTAAATTCGGCCAAAAAGGACGGGTGAATCCTCCAATTACAGCCTTTCTTGTTAAAAGCGACCTCGCCGCGTAAAAAACAGTCATGTAGAGATAGATTGTGGCGGACAGTGTTCTTCCATCGAGCTCTGTTCTCCGTAAATTCGGGATGGTGCTCTTCAATAAACTTATAGATCTCGCACAAAGGGAGCCTTTGGCGTGGCGAGCTAAGGATGGCGTGCGCTATCACGGCGACATAGGAGAGTGAGGATGAATTTCGCTTTCGTTTTTGTTTCCCGGTCTCTGTTTCATTTCCTTCTCCTCTATGGCTTGCCAGAACTGTTAACGTTTTTGTTTCGTCCATTGCCATGCTTTCGGCTATTATATAAGAGAACTTCACTTTGATGAATTTAGCTGAAAACGCGGTCCAGTAATCTGGCATCCTATTTTTCGTGCTCTTTTTATACATGCTTAACGGCACGCTCCTTTTGTTTCGTAAATTTGTCTCATTAATGCTTAGTTACAATGCGGTTTTCAAAAGAACAAAATAGCTCAAGGCAATTATCTCTATGGTGAAATATCAGCTACATCAATGATAACAAAAAAAAAAGAAAAGAAATAGCAAACGTTTATTTAAGTGAATAAGACATGGCTTTGTTGGGGTAGATATTCTTGTTTTGACAAATTCCAAAACCATCCGGTCATTTTGGCAAGAGATGCAGCAGCGCACATGTCACCCTTGAATGTTTTAAGTTCCGTGTTTGAAGAAGGGAAGTTGAAAGAACAAAATTTACCTTTTGTCATCAGAATTGTATGATTTAGACATGGGTAATTCAAATCACAAGTCTTTCACCACTTGAACCTAAAACCAGTCAAGTAATGCAATTTTCTACTTCATCTCACAGGAAACTAATGGGCATGTCATTCAGTTTTAATCGATTAGTTTCAACGAGGTCTGTAATAAAGTTAGATAGCGCATTTTAATCGAATAGCGGCGTTGTATAGTAAAACAGACATCAGACTTCATAGATCGACCACCGTAGCTCTAATTATCTTCTCGACAAGATCCTTCGTTAAACTCGCCTCTTCAATTCTCACCTTTTTTCACTCTGTGTTGAATTGGAACCGGTAGAACCTTTTTGGCGATAGCGACATCACAATAGTGGCTGAGTTACGTAATTAGATAGTAAAGACACTTGAATATTCATCTCTTTTAAATACATCCTGCAATTTTCTGGAGTCGTTGGAGCGTACTAAGTTGGGGTAAAATCGGCAAGTAGGAGCATGCGGCCATTTAACCAAAAACTTCAACGTGACTTTGTAAAAACATGTTTAAGATGAACCAGTGTTAAACGTGTGAAGTGCATTTTACTGTATATTCGTATGTAAACTAACCTATATAAACTCGTTAGTTCGTGGGTGAAATCTCACCGACTATGACCATGCGATTACCATCTAATCAAAAGCTTTTCCTATGATATAATTTGATGAAATTATTTTGATGTGGTTCTTGTGCCGAGTAATGATGAAATTTAGGACATTGATGAACTGACAACATATACGAGAAGTGAATTGCGCGAGTTTATTATTTTAATTCGGTTTAATGAAAATATATTGTGATGTCAATCTATCCCAATAAACTTATTCTAGAGCATTTTAAAATAACATTGTAAAAAAATGCAGGTTTTATTATTTTTGATATCGCGGCGGATGTCTTAAGAGTTATCCTTTTGCCTATGGGTCTTCGAAAACGAGCCAGTTTGAATGCAAGTTATGCTCTCCAGGTGAAACTTCTTTATTACTGATTCCTTGTGCTGTTGATAATTTGTTTACACAATTCAGTTTAGTGTCATCGTTGAGGTACGGCAAGGGCTCACCATGGTCATCCGATCGAAGGCCTGATACACCTGTTCTTAAGGCTCCTACTAGTAACTACAACAGACTTGATGACAAGTTATATTGTTCTTGGCTGGATTGCAGATGTTTAAGCGATGGAATAGGCGGAGCACAAGAAAGTGGTTAGTGACCAGCCCGATATTAAGTGTTTACAAACACTGTCTTTTGTTATTCAGATATTTTAAGGTGAAATAAACGAAGGTATTATTCTAAAGTGACAGTCGATGATATTAGGTCGCCGGGTAGCAGTCACTAAAGTTACAAAGTATGAAACTTCGCTAAAGACACGCACACCAGTAGTCGCCGGCTAGTTTATGTGTCTAACAATTTGAAGGACATCGCTTATCGCCTGCCTTCACTTGGATTATGAGTTGTTTGCTTAAGATGTATCTTTAAATGAGAGGCAATTAAACCGGAAGTCATAGACCGTCAGGTTGCGTCTCCGGCCTTCTTCTTGCGTTATACGCTAGGTCTCTGAAATATTTTTACCAATCTCAGTCGGTTTTTTTTTTTGTTCCTTGAATGGCCATTTAATGTATTTGTAATTTCGTGAAACGTAATGGCGTAATGTTTCCTTATTTTGTCGAAGAAGGCATCGCACAAAACTTTCTTGGTATAGTACTGTAATGGCTGGAGGAACTCACAGGCTGACGAGGAAGAGGCAAATTGTACGCTGTGATTGGCTTAGCCAGAGGGGCAAGATGGATTTCTAGTGAATGAAACAAAAAATAATTCGACCTTACAAGATTCTTATAAACAAAGCCTTTTCCACTAAAATTCGCGTTGTTACCTTTGTTTATTATCATCATTTTTATATTTTTCATATTAATTTTTCTTTAAACTCCAAAGCGTCTCTGCATCGCTGTTGCTTCTGAATCACTGGCAAAGGAAGTCATTGGTGAGGAACCACAAAGAATGGAGTGCAGTGACATTAATATTACGCGAATGTAACATGCATACAATGTAACCGGTAAAATGAGGATTATTCCAGAATGAAATCTCAATTAACCTTGAAAACTGCGTGGCCTATCCCTCCACTCCCACAAGCAGTTAATCTGATTAGGCGTTTTAATTTCCCTCTTTTCCGGGAAACACGAAAAAGGGAAGAAGGCCCACCTGATCACAGTAGGTTAACTAGCGCTTGATTTGCATGATCTACTTTTTCCTGAACTTCCGTATAAGGCCAGAAAAGCACTTTATGTGAGTGTCAATGTATTTAGCCCGAAAGTGCTGGAGATAGGAACGTCATTTTACATGGACATCCAAGCCACACGAAGGTCTAGCCGCTTACAGGGCAAATGAAGGTACTTTATTTCTCAGTTAATTTAACACCTTGAGTGTTGGTCCGGCCCCGGGAATCGAACCTGCGACCTCCCGCTCTGCAGTCAAGCGCTTACCGACTGAGCTAATTTAATCCTGCGGCGATGAGCAAGATACAAGACAAGACATTCTTATACCGGCTGATACATTTACTTTTTCCAAATAACTTAAAACTTGCATTAAAACCGTGGCTATGACTTACTTACACGATGACAGGTAAATATAATTTATAGATAATTAGATACCGATATACAGTATTTACTTTTTGTCGCCTTTCTCTTTTTTTTATTTCGAAGCAATCAAACACATGCAGATGGTTTTACAAAAGTTCAGAATAGTTTTTTTTAAGTTGTCGGTCTAGGTCTGAAAGAACTTTTCCAAAATGGAAAATAAAGGCTGAAATAGGGTTCATCCACGCCACCTTGAGTTTATAATAGTCACGTGAGGTCCTCAGTAACAGGCAATATTGAAACTTTCGACGTGACAAATTGTTGTCAATAAAATTTTAAGGTTAACCTTTTTTTCGTTGCTAAACGGTTAAAAACTTTCTTTATTTTATGCGTAGGGACTAAAACTGCTGGCTGTTTTATGGTTAACAGTTCACCACACTGAGGCCGTCATATAATGGGCTTCAATTTTCGTTCATGGGGACGTATTCTACCTGTCTTCCTGCCCAACACTCACTATTTTGCAGTTTTTAAATATTTACACCCAGCAGCCGTCTAAAGAATTTATTTTCAACTAGCTAGTTCTCCGGATCCGCAATAAGTGGCTGAAAAGAGCCAGCATGTCCAGCAGATCGAGCTTCCCCCAGCTGACGATTTCTCACTGTTGTAGTGCGCCCAGCAAGCTAAGGAAAATTTTCCAGCTACAATCTGCGACAAAATCGTCGGGCTGTCACTTCCTTGATTTCAAGCGTCTGTACCTTCTCAAAGTTAAAAAAACACATCTGTTTTTTAGTCAGGAGGGGTAGCTATTTTCATGTCTTTCGGTCGTAATAGATCATTGCGAAAAGTTCGACATTTAACATCATAGTTCGGATCAACTTCGGTGCTCTAAACAGATGGTAACTGTGTAGCCGTAACAGGGGCATGAGAGTCGATCGGGCTCTGGGTCGGGTGTAAGCTAGCAAAATAGTATTCGATTCTGAACTAACTTGATTTGAATCCGTTGGTCTACTGCGTCGTAATGAGATAGGTCTTCTTCGACTCACTCCGATTTCCTTCTTTTCAATTACATGGGCTTTGTGGTTTTAACTGTTCGAAAGAAGTTGAACAGATTTTTGTTACCTATAAAACCTGCGAAATCAAGTTCAGCTATTTCTCAGTACCCCCACCACCCTCCAAGCGACTAAGGCGGAAGTAATAGGAGCAATTACTTGAACTGAAATTAGAAAAATTTAAATGAGTCATATATTTTGAGGGAACGGTGGTAAGACTGAGTGAGAATGGGTTGATAGGCAAAAAAGATGGGAAACATGAAGCCAGCCTGATGGAGTGTCAGTAAGACATCTCCTCTCGGTGTCTATTTAAGGGGACATTACAGTCACATTTTCGCAAACATTGGAGACATTGGATGATTTGAAATCCACAAAATATATTTTAGACAGACCGGCTAAAAAGAAAATGGCTTATCCAGAGCAATGACTACTGTCTTAGGTTTCTAGAAATGCAAAATTTTGTCACACCTATCATTCATTCTTCTATTAATAATTAACAGAATTCTTACAGTTATGCATATCACAGCACTCTGTTGCCCAATTTCACTGGGAGACTGCATAAAAGTATTTGATAAAACAAACAGTAGCAGCCAGTACATCTTATCAAAAACTGTAGGATGAGTGATTTAGAATGTCAAAACTGTCAACCATCTTGCCATGGAAACCAGAACAAAAAGAAAGGAATAGTAGTCACTAGGATTTAAAATAAATTTTGTTTGACAAAAAAGTAGATCATTCATCCTGTATTTATAACTACATGTACAAGGAACATCTGGTGAAAAAATGAAGTTAACAACTTGAAACCTCTTCAGAATATTCAATTGAGCAACTGTGCTCTATGTGTTCAACACCGCGGAAGACAGGATCAAGATGGTTGCTCTTGTTTTCTACTGTCTGCCACTTTTCTTGTAAGAACACTGCATGAGTTTGGAGGACAATACTTATGCCTTTCCTTATTGGGCAGTTTACAGCTGTGGTGCAAGCTAGCTTTGCTTTTTTTTTTTCAT